AACGATTATACTTATTTTTGGTTCATATAAACAAAAAAAAGTATTATTTTTTCTTGTTTAATATAAAAATTAAATATAAAAAAATATGTGTGTGACCAATATATTATTTAGTCACTAATTTATGTTAATATGTTAAAAGATAAATTATTATTGAATCGCATTATATTCAAATCGAAATTTGTCGATCTAGATGTTGTTAAAATCATTTAATTTGTGACCGGGTAAATGAGCGTCACAGCCGTGACGCATACAGGTGAGTATTGGTTGAAGTGAATGAGTTTATTTTTGTACTACAATCATAATATTATATTATACGATCTTAAATTTTTACCTTTTTTTCACGGCAGCAGCCGTGTTTTATACGATCCGTTTATATAGCATATACATTAAGTGTTATTTGGACTGTTAAATCACCCACCATGTATTTTATTATCCAATTAAATACACGGTGGAGGCGTTTGCATTTGAAATCGGTCTATGGGTTTTGTATAAATAACGTAATTGCGCAAATAATAATATATATTATTCATATTTTTATTGGGCTCGCGGTCGTCTTATGATATCGTTTCATCAATATTGGCGATCGCGACAATAATTTTCGGACGCGATAGTCAAAAAGAATTTTAATCATTTGTCGACGACATTGTTCTGTGCGCTTTTCGTTTGTTCCTGCAGCTGTAGTCTCTACCCCGAACACCGAAAGACAAATGTACTGTGATTAGAACTCCTCAGAGACCAATTTTTCGAGGATTTCAAGTCGTTTATCACCACGCGCACGGTCCGTAACATATTATATTGTGTATGATATTGGCGTAGTGATCGGGCAACTAATAGTGCCATGAAATACGCCTTTCGCCGCGAGCTCAACTATAGCAATGATTTATTTCATTTCCGAGGAATTTCGAAATAACCGAGGATCGGTAAGCGTACTCGTCAGAAAAAAACCGACTGTTTTTAGTAGCGGAGGCGTTCGGTTAGATTCAGACCCAATTAATAATAATATCCAAACGGTAGGTATGACCGTTGGTTATAAATACTAGGAATTATATTGTGAGTGTTTACGTGGTCAATGAAAAATAAAAGCTCGAGAAGCTCTTAGACGTACAGTTTGTTTTTACGACGTGCAATATAAACGGAATGCAATAAGTACGCATAATGGCCATAATATATCAGTCGGACTGATCATGGGCATAAATCGAATAAATAACATGAACAACTAATAATAAGATTCAAATTTTTTTTTATCATTCACTTCACAAACTCAAATAACGAAAACCTATAAAGTGATAATGATAAGGATTGTTATCGGTTTTATCGTATTGAATAGATCAAGGCGTAATTGCTAGGTTGTAAAATTTTTGATACTTATGCAAAAAAATATATTTAAATTTACTGTAACATATTGCTTACGAGTAAATATTACGATTTAACCATGAGTGTTATACTAAGTATACTGATATAGTTCAAATACGGTCATTTTTAACTAAAAACGCTTTATGTTTAATGAATGACATTTTCTTATAGGTACATTTTTTTAATAAATTTACAAGCTAATTTCAAACATTAATGTGAGTAATACATGCTGACCGTTATGTGTTTGCGTTTAAATTAAAAATGATAAATACAAAATTCAAAATTTTGGATATCAATATAGTACAACCAATGTATATTATATTTAAATATAAGTTAAATAATTTTGTTATAATGGTCTTAATACTCTACAGTTCATAGTCGTTGTACAAAAGTAACAAAATATTACTTCACGTTAGCTTTTAATTTGCATTTATGAACTGAAAAAAAAATAACTATTTATTTATTGCCATTTAACTAAACCTAAATAGGTTTTATTAAGTTAATATTGATCTAAATTATTTAATAAATTATTATAAGTATTGGGCATTGTCGCTCATTAATAATTTAATGGTTATTTGAATTTAGATTATGGGTCAAATACTATAAGAGATAACATCAGATGATATAAATATATTATATATTATATAGTAATACAGAAACTAGGCTAGATAATATGAAAAAGAAAAATAATCATAAATTATATAATAATAATAATCTTAATAAATAATACTGTCACTTGAAATTATTCATCTTTTTTCTAAAATATTTCAAAGCCTTCTAAAACTTCAAAGTTAGACAAAATTGATATTTGTTTTATTGTAGTATATTTTTTATGGTGTTTATTGTTATTTAGTATTTATTTATGGTATAGCAGTGTCAAAGCTATAATGGATTTAAACATAAATTTTACAACAAGTAAATAATCTTATGATGTTTGACTTCTAACTTACAAGAAATAAATAGTAAAAAAATTCCTATTAAAACCGTGATACAGATATTACTTAAAAGTTAAAATACTTTATCAAATTAAAAATCGAATTATTTTTCATTTTATTTTTAATGCGTACTACTCACTTGTATTAAAAAAAAAACCCTTTATTATTATATCAGTTTTACTATGTGTCATATTTATAATATGGTAAATATACAAAATAGACTATTTTAATTGAATAATATTAATTTTTTACAATGTTTTGACAAATTATATCTAAGATTTTTAGAACCATAAACAAATAATATCACAAAGATTGGAAGCCACAGATTTTTTTTCCTGCTTCTACTACATTGGGGCTTGATTTAAGTAACTTAATACCCGAGAAATAATAATATTTTAAAAATGGCTTAAATATTATAAAATTCCTGCATACAAATAGTTTTTTTTATTCATAAATCTTGATACGTATAATGTGTTATCCCATTTGGTAAATGAGACCAAAAGAAAATATTTTCTATTTTATCCATATACGTTTTAAAAAGTACAACATTTAATAAACCATTATAAAAAAAATAATGATAAAATTCTTATTAAAATTTTTTTACATATTATGCATGTAATTATATACTTATGTATCTATACGTGCGAATAAAACAACGTAGTCAAAAATAAAATGGTATTAGCTTTTTAAATCTGTATAGCATTAATTTTTAATAATTTACACATCAAATTAAATTCTATAATAATTTAGATTATAATCTGTTTTAATTTATTTTTATATTTTTTACAAAATGTTGAAAAAAAAATGATTACCTTTCTTTAAGTAATAAATTATATTTTAGGCGTTTTGTATAAAAATTGTGAACACATATAACATAATAGAAGATACGTAGGTATGGACGATTTATTAAATTCAGGAGAGTAATAAGAAACAGGAACAAAACGTTTTGTCTTGATTATAGGTAGGTATATATGTTTTTCAGTAAAAATTATATTCGAATTGAGCGTTGAATTTCTTGCACACAGTTGTTTAATGTTAACATTTGACTTTATTTTGTCATTATTATTTCCGATCCTAATTATTATTGTTGATTAATAATTATAATTTTAATTGCTATATTGAATTCGTTGTACGGTTTCAATCCGCAAAAGTGTTTACGCAATTGTTTCTAGTGAGTTATTTAGATTTAGGGTTATTTATAAATAAGTATAAATACAATATAATACTAAGAAGTAGAAAGTTAAAAAGATAATACTAAAAGTTTTTTTTATTAATGATAAATTTATCGTGTATTAAATTTTTGTTGGAATCAAAATATAATATCATTATGTTATACATTAAAATTAGTAATTTTTCCAAACCATTTTTGTATAGCTTTAAATTTGACGAATAGTGAATAAAATCGGTGAAAATAATTTATTACAGAATCAACGGATTATTATTGTTAAGTATTAATTTTTTTGATATAGTTTTATGATAAATGAAATTCAAGAGTCATTTTGACCATTAGATCACTAAAATACTTAAATATGATTCTTTATCGTTTGTTAGTGTACGACGAAGTTTTTATACGCGTACACAACATTTATATTGTATTCAAAATGACCCAAAGTGTTCACAAGTAAAATAATAAGTTATCAAATAGTTTTATTTTATAATGTTCATAATTACATATTCTTTTTTTTTAGATTCTAAATTTTCTAAAAAGTGTTTTTAAACATTTTTATTAAAATTAAAAAAAAAAAACTTTCTTTTAAACTTGGACGACTGTAGTTTTACTAAAAATATCGTATTGATTTTAATCAAAAAGATCTTATAAGGATTCATATAAAGTATTGATTTACAGTAAAATTAATATCGTCGTAACTTATAAACGATCGAAATTACACGCTACATATATAGGTAGGGTAGGTACTATTTGTATACGATTTATCTTATTCGTTGTATTAACTCAACTCCCAGTCACTTTCATTCCATGGACGTCATTATGTGTATCTTTGTCAAAGGTCCACAATTGATGGAATTCCATGGTTAGGAATGTTAATTGAAAAATGTATTGTTTTAATTCATAACAACCTATATTATATAGTAATGATTATTAAAAAAAAAAAAAAAAATAACGATAATCATCTTTAAAAATGTACAAGTTTACGATTTATCATAGATATTGTAATGGTTTTGGAATTAGGAATGCTTATAAATACAACACTATTTGTATAAAATCAATAAGATGGATTTTGAACGTATTTTCATACTGATTTTAATAAATTTTATTATAATCATACCTATTCACATATTCCGCTAGAAACATACATTTTTTTTTTTTAAACAAGCTTTAAATTGAATTTGTACCTCGTATCAAATGACTTATTGCGCTATGAAAATACATTAAAAAAAGTTCTGTTTTAATGTTTTAATATATTAATACATGGTAAAATAATATTGGAAATCGCAATATTACATGTATAAAGTTTATTGTCCCAAGTATTTTTAAGTTTTTAAAATAAGTTGTAACCAGATGGATTTCAATAGCTCGATGAAAATTTAAGTTTTTGATAAGTTTTGAAGTTTTTGTGCGTCGATGACTGCTGTAGCAATAGAATAACTTTTAGAATATTGTACTTATGAACGGTGTTTGCGATAAATATATAATTTATCTTATCTTGTTCGTAAAAAATATTGTGTACTGCAGTAGTAAAATTTCTATTTCAGATGAATCGGAGACGGAAGGCATATACAGCTGGTGAATTATGATTTGACTTCAGACTGCTGTGCCAACGATGAAAGATGGAGTCGTTATGGATCCCGTCGTTCTGGAAGAGGCTCAGCAGCTCTTGTCGCCTGCTTCTTGGACTAAAGGTAACGAAGTTTCAGCGTTTGTTTTTGTTCGTTACTGATAAATACTCGTACATACATGTATTAAAATTTACGTACTTACGTCCGACACGTAATGATCGCAATGCACATTTCGACACTGCACTTCAAACATCGCCATTTGTCAGACAAACGTGAAACTTATCGCAATAAATTGCATATAATTATATTCAATGGGTTTGGATGAACGACATTTTGGTGACGATTTTGTTTAATGGAATTACCTTGTATTCGTATCACGATTTAAATTATACAACAATCAAGCTCACTCTCGAACCGTCTCTCTTTTCTATTTTATTTTTTAATTCACGACTGGAAACATTTTCATTAAGTCTGATGCGCATTAACTATTCGTCTTGGTGCCACTGCTAAGAACTGGAATATAAATTGTTTTACACTCACACGCATACTGCAATGCGACAAATCGTTTAGGCCGTCAGAACACGATAAAATGACATATTATTTTTATAAACAGTTTTGTTTAAATGCAAATGCAAAAAATATAAACGATAATAATAACAATAAAAATGGAAACAATGCTTTTGTTCTTTCTGTTGCAGCCGTACTGTATCGTTTTTGTTTTTCTAGAACAATAAATTATATTTTCAAAGAAAAATACATGTATTTACCTTTTATATTATAATTATTATTTTTTAACCTTTGTACACAGCAGCACACTAGACATGTTTAGTATTTACTGTTCTTGATTATTTTTTTTTTTCACTGATGAATGAACTTGTGCTTTCGACAAACGATCCGAATTAAATTAAAGTCAAATAGGTTATATCAAGAAAAGGATGGTCCTCATTAGCCAGTGTTTTATTTTTATTTTTAATAACTTTTTTAAATTGAAAATCTCGGGCAGTACGCAACAGTTACGTTGACAGGAGACATAATAGCTTTAAACTCATTCAATTCATGACATTTGATTTATCAAATCTTGTTGAAACCTTAGAAGCTAAAATCCGTAAAAGTACTAAGATAAAAGTAAATTAACTATAAATTACTCAAATAATAGTATTAAAACTTTTAATATGTATTCATATTATTTTAGTGTCCCTTTAAAAATACATTGATGATGATAAAATGTATATTAAAAAGGAAAAATACTTTTTTTTACTAACATAAATAACATGTCTAGAAAGTTTTTGAAATAGTCGGGTTTAACTTTCATTGTCTCTATCGATATAAAATACATAAATTAATTTTAAATGTTAATTAAAACAAAAACACGTTTTTTGGTACTAGTGAATAAGCATTATATTTCTTCCGATCGTTGTAGAATATTATCATCACGTTGATCATAAATCATCTGTACTCACACAAGTCATTTTGCGCCGATTGACTCAGTTGCCGGAAGTAGTTCATGAAAGCTCAGATGAAGGTATAAAAATGAATTTATATCGGTATTATTAATTATTGTTTAGGTTGTCATGATATTATATCTTCACGATGTATTATATGCTAGTCTATCTACAAGTGACGTAAGCACCAATGGTGTAATCGAGAAAATATGATGAACATTTAAGTTTTTTTTTATTAATCCCTTTTCTCCACCTCCAAATAATAAACATAATTAATTTTATTTAACTAGAAAAACTACCAACTTTAATTTTAAAATCAATTACATTTTTTCTTCTTTTCAAGTCGTAAGAAAAAAATTGAAAGTATTAACAATTTTATCGCATAATATGTTCAGTTGTAACAAATTATATTTGATCAATATTCAATACACAATTTTATGAACTAATACACGAAAAATAATCAAAACTAGAGTGTTTGAATAATTTTTTTAATCGTTCTAAATCATACAACTAAATTATAACAAATATACGAGTAGACTAATTCATGACTAGAAAAAAAAAAACCTAAAATCTTAGAAAATCTACGCTTCTATAATTATGGGCTACCAATAAAGTTTAATTTCTGGTAACTTATTAAATAACATCTCTTTATAAACCCTTAATTCTAAAATTTAAAATGTACATATAAATATTATATGTATTATCTTTTACTATATGTTTTAAGATTTCCTGTCAATATTTTGATTAAAATGTGTAAAGTACTATTATTTCTTATTTTAAAATAAAATATATTGTTCATTATTTATAGGAAAACTTTTTTACATAAATTTAAAAAAAAACAAGAATGTTATTAATATATTATATAATAATTTAGATTTTTTGAATGATAGTTTTATGTTTTCTACAACTCTATTCGCTATAAACTCTGAAACGCATCGACACATTTATTCAAGTCAATAAAAATAGAACATTGAATTTTTAGCATAAACCTAGAATGCTAAAATTATCCTTTATTGTTCTTAAATAATTATTCTAAGTATCGTAAGCAGGAAAATTATCTTTCGCGTGCAGTGATATTTGAGTGTATAGTCAAACTCATTTTTATTATTTTAGTTTAATTAGTATATTATATTTATGTTGATGAGTAGTACCCATTTAATCCGTTTTCTATGTATTTATATTCTATATTTATCCATAATCATTGTCAATTTATTGAAAAGGGGCGCACGATTAATATTATCTTCAATTGTATTCTAAAATAGTTTCTAACTAGAATTTTAAAAAAATGTAATAGAAATAATAATAAACTCTAATACTTGGTATAGTTGTATTAAAAGCTTCATGAAATAATAACATATTATATACCATTTTATATTGAATTTAAACTGTTTTAAATTCCGGAAGTCGATTATTTTCTATTTATTCTTTCTCTTAAATTACATCAGCGATCTTAAATATTGTCATCGTAATAGATTTACTACCTACAACACTAACAAATCAATAATGTAAAACAATTATTGTACCTATATATTGCATTTGTACAGAGTAGAAAATGTACTCTGTCGGTCGTATGCGTGTCGAGACTACAGGTTGGTTGGTTTTACAGGGGATATTTGTCCTAAGAATGCCAGAAAACGTTACAATGTCACCATACTGGAACTGAACCCGGTCGTGGGTCGCGATGACGTCGTCGTGGACCACTGCCGGAGGAGAGAGAGCAGTACTAGTAGCGGTGGTGTTAATGACGTGTTGCAATCGTCCTGCAGTGAGTGCATCGACTGTCCATATAACCAATTTATATGTACAGATCCCAAATATATGTATATATGCATATATTATATATACATATATACATATAAAAGTATCTATGTTAAACGCTCAATATACTATATTATTTCGTATAGATATTACAGAACGATATAGACGTAATAAACGGAAGAACGCATCGAACCGTCCAATATAATATATTATTATGTTATACAGAGCAATTCGACCCGTATTCACGCATAGTCAAATAACCGCGATGAAAATAAAATACAAATGTGATCGCTCACTCAGTGTATTTTATATGCTTATTATATTTATTAATATTTAATATTGAACAACGTTTAATTCGAGTTATAGTTTAGTTATTATATTATAATATTACAGCATTTCCAATCCCACTCAACTCATTATTAAGATGACGCTTTTAGTAATATCTTGGGGGATATTATGAGGAATAATTTTCAATAAAGTTATTGAGTAAGACGCTATTTTACTTTTAATTATCGTAGTGTTTATCGCTGAAATTAAAAGTTTCCTTACATTTCCCGGTTAACAATAAAATGATCACTTAGCACTTCTTTAACACAAACGTACCGTACATCCCCAGTGGCATTACTTCACTTTTATTATGATCTGGTAAAATGAGTGTATTATATGTGCGAATGATAAAATATTTCATGATAATATTATAATATTAGAAAGAAACTCAATTATATCGCCAACTGTCAGTGATTCATTTTGAATCGATTAAAATTCACCGTAATTATATTTCCACATACGTCAAGTTTGACGAACGATTTCGGTAAATTACAGTTTTTGCATTTGTAAATCGATGCATCATATTTTTTTACCACATGTCTTTATAGTAATATGATGGAAAAAATATTGGTTACCTAAGAGTTGAATGGTGAGAAATGATCTACTTTTATGTTTTCTTAGTAGACAATTAAAAACTAAAGTTTATTTATTGTTCATGTCTCGGTCATGAAAGTATAAATGTAATATTCGTTTGGTTTATTATTTGTCAATAGTATTAATTTTCTGTCAAATCGACTCAAGTAAAGTTTATTTTTTTTATTTTGACTCTAATAATATAAATCATATAATATATCTATCTAATTGGTTTAATTTTGACAAAGAACAATTTTATTATATGGGTTATTAAAGAAAAGATGGGATTCTTGGTAACTTTAAAATTGTATATATATATATATATATATAATATATATACAGTCTGGTTCATTTAATCAGCTTCATTATTTTCTCTGTTGATTTATATTATTTTTATATGATGTATAATTTAAAGCACTTATCAATAAGTATTTATATTTTTTATTTAAAATAGTAGTTATTATTTTTGTTTTTTTAATTATATTAAATTATTTCAACGAAAAAAAAAATGTATAATATACTCGTATATTAATTTAAAAAGTTTAAGATTAATAAATACAAAAAAAAAAATATATTATGATTTTAGTTATACGTGGCTAAATTTAAATTTAATATCATAGAAATTTCAATGACTTCAACTTATGATTTATATGATTTAATAAATGTGAAAAAAATAATATTATTAGTTAAAAGTATTTGTTAAGCCGTAGCGCAGCAACTTGTTCTACTCCACTAATTAATAAATCTATGTACATAGGCTTTAAAAAAAAAAAATCGTTTAACTTGAACTCATATAAAAAAAATCGTTTATTCAACTACATTATATAATTATACATATTTATATACCTATGCCTATGTTACGTGCATATATTTTTCTATTTTCACGTTATTATTCATATATATATATATATATATATAAATAGCTGATTAACTCGATGTTCGCTGTATAGCCACTGGTAATAAGAGATATAATGATATAATGATTATGAGTATGAATACCTTGTTAATTCTAAAACGGTCATGTCATGTATACTTTTTTTTTTGCACAAGCTCACTATTTTATATCAGTCAATAATTATACTAGATATCACAAATTCCCTGTAAACTTTGATTTAAACAATTTATTAAATATTTTAATGTAACACGGCACATCAAATAGGCAATTTAATAACGTGAAATAATTCTGATAATAAAATATTTCTGATTTGTATTAATATCCTAATCAATAAACACCTACAAAAAAGAAATAATAGATATAAAATTCTAAACTATTTTAATCTTAAATTTTTGCTCCATACATTTGATTTCTAAACATATTATTTCATCTTGTATTGTTTTATACTTCATAGTTACACTCGAATTGTCTGATTAAAAACAATTTTTTATGTTGTATCTTTTGAAAAACAAACTTGTGGTGGTATTGATGAAAATTAAACACAATAATCATAAACTTTACATTGTATAGAATTATCGGATATGATTTGAAAAAATGCTTTTAAGTAGAAACTATGACGTATTACAATCACGCAGAAAGTGATACATAGCCAGTTTTGATTAAGTATAGCCACGCTGTTATTAATAAAACGATATAAAATTATTATTTTATTTTTCCTATTGTTTTTAAAATTTTAAATTTTTAGTTGACAATTTTTCTTTAATATTGAGTTATTTTTAAAATGTTATTACTATAGATAATCATATCGATTCGCAAACTAAATAACCAATATAACACGTATAATTTTTGAATATGATTTTATATTTATTGATTTGATCTTACACAAACATTTTGGTTTGATGGACCTTATTTATATAAATTACAGATAATTTGATTAATATACAATTCAATTGGAAAAATTAATACGAATTTAACATTTTATATAATTTTATATAGTTTTAATTTGAATTTAAAATATTTACCGATTTATGTATAAATTCACAAATACATAACTTAAGCTAACTTGTCGGAATTGTGCATCGTTCATCGCTATTTGAGTGCACACAATAATTAAGAGTTATTTAAATAAATCTTTCTAAGACATATTTACTTTAACTTTTTACAATAATTGATATGTTGTAAATAATTATTAACTGTACGCTGAGTTTGGGCATATTAAAATAGTTATTTATAATTTTAAATATTAATATTTATTCTATTTAGAAGTATATAACACTACGGTAATTAGAAATAATTTAAAATGAGGAAAATTCAAACATAAATAAATTATTAGGATACCAAAATTGATTTTTAATTTCTCACGGTTATTATTGTGGTTAAGATGTAGTTGATAAAATGTGTAATTATAAAATCGTAGAAATGAAATAACAATATCAAGGTTATACTAGATTTTTGTACAGTTATGATATAATTAATTTTTTTTTTTCCATTTACTATTATTATAGTTTTAATTATGGAAATTAAATTAAATGAATCCTTATAAGATTTATCAATTTAAAAGTAGTATAGATTATGAATAATTATATTTACTTTATATATTTTTAGAAGTTGAAAATGCGATGATAATAATACATTATAAGTTTATCAATGGTATATATCTTTAGTGTGATCACATTATTTAGATAATAGTACTTGTATTTTACTGTAAATCACCACCTTATATAGATAAGTATAGATAGGATTAATTAACTATAGTAACCAGATACAAATAAGGTAAATGAATAAATAAAAATTATATACAAGTTAAATGAAAATAATTATACGAATATTACGAATATATTGACAAGTCTTGACCATGGACAAACAGTTACTTTGTTCCACTTCGTCCGCACGCCAATGCACTATATCTCCTCATGCATAATAAAGTCAAACAAAATAAAATCGATTTTCAACTAGCAATCGGTTGCGTCATATTTTCCTATTACCAGTGTCGTTATAATATTTTACTCCAAAATAATGGTCTTTTTTTCCCCACCATATCCTCCACCGTTTCGGTTGCATCGAAACGACCCTGGAAACAAATATTCTATGAATAATTGGAACGTTCCCTTTAAAATATACATTTTATAATAATCACGTGAATAAATTATGAGGCATTGTGTGCTCTTATTGCGTACGGTGGTCACATATAATAATAATAATAATAATGATAATTATAATATATATAGGATCTTAAATGGTTTTAATTTTTTATGAGCGTACGTGTGTTGAAGCAATGACGATGTCAATATTCAGCTATCACATTGCACGCCGCGCATCGACTGAACAATACAACTCTAATTATATACAATGTGTCAGAAGAATCCGCCATTAAAATAATTGTTGTGGTTATTATATGACGTTTAATCCGCAAGTATAATAATTTCTAACCATGAATATCGTTTTCATTTTACAAGTGCTCATAATATTGTTGTTAAGATTAACGGAAGTTACTGCAATGAGGCAATAAGTTACTCATTTATCGTCGAAATTGTAAAAACCGTTCTTAATATGCATTGCATACAATATATTGTAAGTATACACACATTATAGTGTATGACCCGGTACGTTTCAAGTATTCGCATTAGGCGGATGGAATAGTTTAAAATAAACAATTATTGGTATTTGACGTACGGAAAAACGAGGAAATAAATCGCAGTACCACATAATCCATGTACGATACTGAAAAATAATAATTTACATCGCGTAAGTACCTATGAATTAACGACCAGAGAAAAATATTTACTTGATGAAATCCGCGATTTCTTCTTGCACGCCGTGTTTTATTCGAATACGATTCGTTAACGCTTATCTTTTTGAATTTGCGGAACTTACGTCGCATCGAAAAGGTTGCGATTTTCAAAAATGTGCTGCCTCCGGAGGACCGGCACACTCGTATAATATATTAAGTATCATTATAGTCTATACTCGCTTGTCTGGCGTGGGCTCAATATCGAGTTATAAAATTTCATAGTACCGTTATTCCGAACGCTCCCATATAATACGACCGGGCGTCTCCGCACATTCTTCGAACAATATAGCGAACAAAGCAGATATTTTTACGATTATCCAAATCGCCGAAAGGGCGATTGCGAGTGCGCGAGGCGTCGGTGGTTTGATCTTCAGAAAATATACTGCTGCGGTACAGCGCAATCATAAAACCGGAGCTCCGT